ACCTCCTGGGCCCAAGTGATTCTCCTGCCTCATCCTTCCTAGTAGCTAGGATTACAGACATAGGCTACTATGCCCAGCTAATTTTTGTAAATTTTTAGTAGAGGCGGGATTTTACCATGTTGGCCAGGTTGGTCTCAAACTCCTGACCTCAAGTGATCCTACCACCTTGGCCTCCCAAAGTGTTGGGATTATAGGCATGAGCTACCATGCCAGGCCTTATTTAGAACACTTCAACCTAATTTCCACACTTTAAAAATCCTGTTAGCTCTCAGTAGAGAATAAAAAATTGTCAAAAAGCTGGACTTTAGGGCCAGGCACGGTGACTCATTTCTAGTTTTATTCCACTGAGGTGTGAAAAGATACTTAATAGAATTCCAGCACTTTGGGAGGCTAAGGCAGGAGGATTGCTTGAGCCCAGGAGTTCAAGACCAGCGTAGGCAATAAAAAAAGACTCTGTCTCTACAAATTCTTTTTTAAAAAAATTAGCCATGTGTGGTGACACACACCTGTAGTCACAGTTACTTGGGAGGCTGAGATGGGAGGATTGCTTGAGCCCAGGAGGTCAAGATTGCAGTGAGCCATGATTGCGTCACTGCACTCTAGCCTGGGTAAGAGCATGAGACTCTGTCTCAAAACAACAACAACAACCAAAAACAAAACCCCAAAAACTGGATTTTAGTCCAGCTTTAACACCAACTCTCTGTGTGATACTGGTCTAGTTGTGTAACCTCCTTGAGCCTTAGTTTCTTCATCTGTGAAACAAAATATTAAACCAAATTATCTTTTAAAATATTTCCATTGACAAAAATTGTACATAATTATGGGATACAGAGTGACATTTTGTTATATACAATTTATAATTATCAAATCAAGGTAATTAGCATATCTATCTTCTCAAACATTTATTATTTCTTTGCCTTGGGAACATTCAAAACCCTTTTTCTAACTATTTGAAAATATACAATAAATTATTGCTTGCTACAGTCACCTTACGGAGCTGTGGAACACAAGAACTTATTTTCCCTATCTACTGATAATTTTGTATCCTTTAAGTAATCTCTCCCTATTCCACCTACACCGTTCCCAGCCTTAATAATCGCTATTCTACTTTCTACTTCTGAGATCAACTTTTTTAGTTTCTGAAAATGAGTAAGAACATGTGGAGAACATGAGTAAGAACATGTGGAGAACATGAGTAAGACATGTTTTTATCTTTCTGTGCCTGGCTTATTTCATTTAACATAAAGTGCTCTAAGTTCATCAATGTTGCAAATGACAGGATCTCATTCTTTTTATGGCCAAATAGTATTCCATTGGATATATATAACACATTTTCTTTATCCATTCATCTGTTAATGGACACTTTTATGTTGCTTATTGTGAATAGGCCTGCAATAAACATGGGAGTACAGATATCTGTTCAATATACTGATTTCCTTTTTTTTTTTGGATTTATACCCCATAGTGAGATTGCTGGATCATGTGGTAGTTCTATTTCTAGGTTTTTGAGGGACCTCCATACTTTTTCAATAATGGCTATGGTAATTTACAGTTCAACAGTGTATGCAAATTTCCTTTTCTCTGCATCCTTGCCAGAATTTGATTTTTTTGTTTTTGTCTTTTTGTTAATAGTCATTCTAACTGGAATGAGATTATATCACACTGGGGTTTTTTTTATTTGCATTTGGTGATTAATGATGTTGAGCATTTTTCATGTGCTTGTTGGTCATTTGAATGTCTTCTTTTGATAAATATCTATTTAGAATCATTTTCTCATTTTAAAATCCAATTATTTGTGTGTGTATGTATGTGTTTAGTTTGATATAATCCCATTTGTCTATTTTTGCTTTTGTTGCCTATGCTTTGGAGATTATATCCATAAAATCTTTTCTTAGACCAATGTCCTGAAGTGTTTCTCCTTATAGTTTCTTCTAATAGTTTTATAGTTCAGAGTCTTATATTTAATCTTTAATCCATTTCGAGTTGATTTTTATATATGGTGAGAGGTAAGGGTTTCATTTTTCTGCGTATCCAGATATCCTTATCCAACCCCATTTATTGAAGAGACTCTTCTTTCTGCAGTGTACGGTTTTGGTGCCTTTGTTAAAAATCAGTTGACTATAAATATGTTGATTTATTTCTGGATTCTCTATTCTGTTTCATTGATCTATGTATCTGTTTTTATGCCAGTACCATGCTGCTTTGTTACAGCATATTTATAGTATATTTTGAAGTCAGATAATGTGATACTACCAGCTTTGTCCTTTTTAGTCAGGATTGCTTTGGTTGTTTGGGTCTTTTGTGGTTCCATATATATTTTAGGATTATTTTTTCTATTTCTGTGAAGAATGTCAGTGGTATTTTGATAGGGATTGTTTTGAATCTGTGGCTCAATTTGAGTATGGTCATTTTTAACAATACTAATCTTTTCAATCCACGAACATGGTATTTCTTTCAATTTTTTTGTGTCTTCTTTCATTTCTTTCATTGGTACTTTTTAGTTCTTATTGTAGAGTTCTTTCACCTGCTTGGTTAATTGTATTCCTATGTAATATTTTTCATAACTATTGAAAATGTAATTGCTTTCTTTGTTTCTTTTTAAGCTAGATTGTTATTGGTTTAATAGAAATGCTAATACATTATGTATGTTGATTTTGTATCCTGCAATTTTACTGAATTTTTCTATCAGTTCTAAGAGTTTTTGGCAGAGACCTTAGGTTTTTCTACTTATAAGATCACATTGTCTGCAAAAAGACAATTTGACTTCCTTTTTTTCCAATTTGGATGCCCTTTGTTTTTTTAATTTTGTCTAATTGCTCTGGCTAGGACTTATAATACAGTGTTAAATTGTAGTGGGGAAAGTAGTCACCCTTATATTGTTCCATCTATTAGAGGAAAAAGTTGAAAACTTAGTTGTAAGTTTGTCATATGTGGACTTCGTTATGCTGAGGCAAATTTCTTCTATGCCTAATGTGTTGAGACTTTTTATCGTAAAGGGATGTTGAATTTTATCAAATGCTTTTTCTGTCCCTATTGAAATGATCATGTGTTTTTGTTCTTCATTCTCTTTGTGTGATGCATCATGTTTATTGATTTGTGTATATTGAATCACCCTTGCATCTCTGGGATAAATCTCACTTGATCATGGTGTGTTAATCTTTTTGATGCGCTGTTGGATTTAGTTTACTACTGTTTTGTTGAAGATTTTTGCATTCATGTTCATCAGGAATATTAGCCTGTAGTTTTCTTTTTTCGTTATGTTCTTGTCTGGGTTTTGCATTAGGGTAATATTGTCCTTGTAGAATGAATTTGGAAGAATTCCCTCCTTTTCATGTTTTTGGAATAGTATAAGAAGAATACGTGTTAATTCTTTAAAAGTTTGGTAGAATTCATCAGTGAAGTCAACCAGCTCTTGGCTTTTCTTTGTTGAGAGACTTTTTATTATTGATTCAGTCTTGTTCTTTGTTATTGGTCTGTTCAAGTTTTCTACTTCTTCCTGGTTCAACCTTGATAGGTTGCATGTGTCCAGGAATTTCTCCGTTTTCTCTAGGTTTTCTAATTTGTTGGCATATAGTTGTTTATGATAGTCTTTAATGATCCTTGTATTTCTGTGGTATCAGTTTTAATGTCTCCTCTTTCATTTTTAATTTGATTTATTTAGATTTTTTTTGGTTAGGTAGTCTAGCTAATGGTTTTTCAATTTTGTTTATCTTTTCTTTCTTTCTTTTTTTTTTTTTTTTTTTTTTTAAGTGGAGTTTTCCTCTTGGTGCCCAGGCTGGAGCGCAATGGTGTGATCTTGGCTCACCTCAACCTCTGGCTCCTGGGTTCAAGCAACTCTCCTGCCTCAGCCTCCCAAGTAGCTGGAATTACAGGCATCCACCACCACACTCAGATAATTTTGTGTTTTTAGTAGAAACAGGGTTTCTTCATATTGGTCAGGCTGGTCTTGAACTCTTGGCCTCAGGTGATCCACCTGCCTCGGCCTCCCAATGTGTTGGGATTACAGGCATGAGCCACCACACCTGGCCTGTTTGCCTTTTAAAAAAACTAGCTTTTTGTTTCATTGATCTTTTGTATTGTTTTTAGTTTTTAAATAATTTATTTCTGTCCTGATCTTTATTATTTATTTTTTTGTACTTATATCAGATTTGGTTTGTTCTTGCTTCTTTAGTTCCTTGAGGTATGACATTAGGTTGTTCATTTGAAAATTTACTACTTTTTGGTGTAGGTGTTTGTTGCTATAAACTTCCTTCTTATACTCCTTTTGCTGTATCCTATAGGCTTTGGTATGTTGTGTTTCTTTTTTTTTTTTCTTTTTTGAGATGGAGTCTTACTTTGTTGCTTAGGCTGGAGTGCAGTGGCACAATCCCAGCTC